ATAAACAATATTAAATTCAGGTATTTCTTAGAATGGTAAGTTTTCTTACTCAAGTTTAATAATTTCTTTTCGGCACGGGCCTTTTGCTTCTCCGTTTTCTCTATAATTTTATCTACAATGTCATCCTCACTATCGCTATCTTTAGGTTTTTCCTTTTTTGAAGGTGGTTCCCATTCAACCCAATCATCTGATTCAAGTGTACATTCCCAGATGCATACTCGACCATTTCTGTAAAACAAAACCTCCGAAAATAAATAAGCAAATTCACGTTGTATATAGGATATTATTATATATGCAAAAAAAATAATTAAAAATTAAAAATACAATATAAATATGGTAAATTATATCACTTACTTGCTAATAGTGTACATATCGTATTGTTTTGCTTCAAAGAAACATGCTACAATTACGTCAGAATGACCACCCAATGTAATCAACCTAAAGTTTGCCCATTTTTGTAAACTATATATCTTTACAGTAGTATCCTTTGAACCAACCGCTAACAGTTTTGAATCAAAAGACCAACTAACGCATGTTGTCTCAGCGGTAGCTCCATGAAACGCTTGTTCCATAATAAACGGATTGTAATCCCCCGTTTGTAAACTCGGTGCATTAAAAATAAATACTGTGAAATAAAGAAGCAATATATATTATATTTCACAATAAATGTTATATTTTCATTAATACATTCCAACAAGTTCATAATAATAAATACTTACCACCGCCACCTTTACAAACTGCAAAATGTTTTCCATCCGGAGAAAACTTTACACGCTTAGGATTTCCTTTAAATCTGTACTTATGTAAAATTACTTTACTAATTAAACTAATAATATGAGCTTCGCCATCTGTAAATGTTACAAAACTATTATTTCTTCTACAAATACTCCTTCATAAATAGTAATAAATAAATAATTTTTAGCAATAAGTACAAAAAAGAAGTCTTTTTACCTGTGTTAATAGCTATTAATATACTCCCATTTGGTGATATATCAATTGCAATATAATTAAATCTACTCTCAACAGAAAGTGTCCTAGATTTATTACTAAAAAAAAAAATTATTTTATATAAAATTTTGTAATAAATACTTAATCAGCACATAACATCAAAAATATATATATATATTCCAAAAATATTATTTAAATATTTATTTAATGTAAAAACATTAAATAAATGTTTAAAAATTTTTTTAATATTGTATGTTAATTGGGTTACTATTATACAAAATTTAGAAGTTTTTAAATATTTTTTTAGACATACTTTGTAGTAAAAGTAATACTCTTTCATAATTACATACTTTTTTAAATCAAAAGTTGTGATTCGGTTGCCCACTGGGCTGATAACTGATGATCCATCTGGAGTAAAGCATAAATCCCCTTTACGATAAACTGTTCCAAGTAAATTACTGAACTATAATAAAAAATAGAAAGCATTTCACCGTAATTTATAAATATATATCTCACGTATACATATTATTAACATAAAACTTTTATATATATTTAAAGTTACCATACGTTAATTGTGTTTATAATTATTAGTAACTGGACTAATAACAAATATTAGAACTAAATATACAACTAAAAACTTTATTAATTGTAAATAAATCAAAGAGAACACATAATCTTCAAAATATTATAGGTTAAAAGTACTGGAGAACTGTAATAATTTAAAATAACAAATAATACAATTTATAAAAAATAAAACTCATAAATTGCAGTTTTTCTAAAACAATAAATAATCTCACCTTATATGAAAATTTCATCTTCCCTCTTTTTGTTAATATCAAAAAATATCTTTTCAATTCACGTGTCCAGATACATCATACAATATATAACAAAAGGTCTGTTCATTTTGGCTGAACTTTTGCACCAGTTCATCCTTCTTCCTTTTCTCTCCAGGAAAGGAGAAAAGGAAGAAAGATGAACTGGTGCAAAAGTTCAGCCAAAATGAACGGACTTTTAATATCTACTGTGTATACAAATATTGAATTGGTATGTAATTTTAAAATTATCCTAGCGAGGGCGCCACAAGCGTGATTTTTGTTGTAAAGGCATAGAATACTCCGCTCCTCTCAAATTATAATAAAAATATACTCAATCGATGCGTTTTTGTATGAAACGAAAGAATCCGGCAGAGAAAATAAGCTCTGCCCTACGAACCGAGTTATTAAGCGTTAAAGTTGAGGACTGTTGAGGTTAGGAAATCTGTCATACCGACTATGTAGCACTGCTTTCTTCATGCTCTGTGACCTTTTGCGCATGCGTTTTCTGCTGCGTTTCGAAAAGTCTTCATAAATTTGTAAGAATAGCTAAACTCGAAACGTTCGTTTTGTACTGTTTAATACGTGCAATAACAATTCTCATTTACAATGATGTTATCAGACTTTATTAATCTAACATATAATACAGATAAATTAATAGAGTTCCTCATTCAACATAATATATTATCTGCTGTAACAAATTGCGACAAAAATGCGAAAATGTTGTTACACCTAAATACCAAGACGTTGATGTTTTTGTAACAAAAGGCGTTTCATGAAAAATACTAATAAAAAACGTATCAGTCAACAGCGCAGATTTGAAAGAAGTGCTAAAGTGGGAACATGGTTTGTGTGACAATAGTAATTTAGATATAAGTTTAATTTGTAGACTCACAGCCTATTTCATCATGTTCCCACCACCACGTCTACACTTTCTATCATTTGACACTGGCTTAATTAAAGTCACGGTTATTGACTGGTTAAATTTTTGCAGAAAAGTACATGCATATTTTTTATATTAAAAATCACATATTAATATTGTATATTTATACCTATAAATATTATAGGTCTGTGTGTCCTGGGCCAAGAAACATTGTGAAAAGATTGGAGGCCATAGTCGAAGTAGACGAAACAAAATTTGGTCGCAGAAAGTACAACCGTATGGCCGAGTTGTCGAAGGTCATTGGGTTTTTGCAGGAGGAATAGATAGACAATCGAAGAAGATATTTTTAGTGGCTGTCCAGGATCGAACGCAAGAGAGTCTATTAAAATGTATTAAAGATTGGATTCTACCAGAGTCGACAATAATATCTGATTGTTGGAGATCCTATACAGGTGTCTTGAAAATGAAAATTTCCAACATCTAACAATTAATCATTCATACAATTTCGTTGATCCTGACACAGGTATATTTTGTAAATACATATCTGATTAATATGAAATTGGCAAATGTACTGATTTTTCTTTAAATTTATAGGTGACCCAAAACATCGAACGCGTTTGGAGAGAAGTTAGGGCAAATATCCCAAAATATGGGATTATATCCGATCATTTTGACGAATATTTATCTGAATATCTGTTCAAACGCGTTCATGATTTGGATAAATGCATAGATAACTTCTTCGATATTATTATAGTGAAGTATATATCCTCCGAAACTCAATATCCAAAGTCAACAAGCGTTATCTTCTTTAAATCTGCACTAAAATATAATTTAATTCCATAAAGAGTCTCGTTAAATATTTTCATATTTATTTTATGTATAATTTTATTTCATATTTTATTTATGTATATTTTATTTCATTTTATTTTATGTATAAAATGAAAATTACGGCCGTAATTTGCTACATTACCGTCATTCGATTATATAGTAAAATAAATGTATTTTATAAAATTATTATTCGTCATTATTTATTTTTTAAGTTCCTTTTTCTTAAAAATTGATAATGAGTTAAGAGGATATAATAAAAAAAAGTTACACCAACGTATCAGTATAACTACAATAGCAAAAATTATTATATATTAGGAGAGAGAAACTGCGGAGTCAAAAGTAACACAGGTAAGTTGTAAATAAATAAATAAAATACACAAATTAAAGAGAATCACAGTTTGTAACATACGTGATTGTAAACTTTTATCTCTTTTTTATCCTTTTGTTTCTAATGTTTTTTTTATGCAAATGTTACAACTTACTTGTTATGTGTTTGATCTCATATATATATAGATATAGATCCCTATAATAATAATTAGCGTAAAAAAGTTTATCAACTTTTGGTAAACTATATGAAAAAATTTCCAAAGTCGATAAAATATCATATCTAATCGGATAATAGATGATCTTAATTGAAATTATAAAAGAACTATGATTCCGAGAATTCTTACTTTTAAGTTTAAAGACTCGAATAATAAAAACTTGGAATTCCAAAAAAAATACAAAGTATTAAAAAATAATTCTATATAAATCCTAAAATTTCTACAATTTCAAGTCTAAAAGTTAAGATATGCACGAATTCTCAAAAAAATTATAGCAACTGCAAATATATATATATACAACATAATAATAAATTGTATCACATTACATAAATACATCAAAATATATTTTTACGTAGATCTCACTACATTTCAATTGAAGTTGAAAGCTTCTTCAGTAGATGCGGCGTAATTAGGTCAAGGCTATAATACAATTTGAGTGAGAGTTCAATAACAGCAATGGCCAATATACATATTATGACAATGAAATATGTAGTTCTTTTATCTATAAAATATTATTTATAAAATGTGAAGAGAAAAACAAATTCAGCGTAATAATCTGTTTCCGTTTTATTATCTCTATAATCATATCAATGTTGACGAGTATGTGTGTCGTTTACATTATTCCACTTTAAAAACTCGCGAGACTCAGCTGACAGTTCAAACATCCGGTCATGTGCCTGCATACGTAAACGGCAAGCTAATTAAAGATTGTTTTCAGACTTGGGGCGATATCGTCAAACAGACATCGGGAAATATCGCGGGATCGTGAAAGACGATCTCCACGACGTTCCGCGGCGAGAGAGAGCCGTTCGAAAGAGGCCGCACGGGACGGAAAATCGAGCGGAAAACGCGCGTCACGCGCTCGCGATGCGCGCCAGGCGCGGCCAATCGGCGGGTCCAACGTCACCCGGCTGGGGGATGAGACGCGGCGGGCGATTGGCCGGCGGGACGAGCGCGCGGCCAATCGCTACCGGGACCGACGCGACACGCCGCGCGACAAGCGGCCACCTTCTACCGCCGCCGTTGATCGCTCTCTCGTCACTCATCACATGACCCGCGCCACTGTACACCTCGGGTAGGCCATATTTGACAGTGGGCCACTAGTTTAGCGCCGTGAGTGACGTGAAGATCGCTCTACCGATCGCGCTCGACGATCCCGCTCGCGACCTGAAACCCCGTGCAACCTGTAAATACATCCCGTGACACCGACTCTTCGATTGCCGAGATCCGACGTACCGAGCCACAATGAGTGGAGCCACAGAAGAAGCCCCGATATACTCGCCGTTCTTCGGCGTTATGGGCGCCGCCTCTGCCATCGTATTTTCTGGTAAGTCACTCGGTTGTTTGTCCCGTCGCCACCTCGCGATCCCGCTCGCGACGTCGACCACGAGAAGGTCGCGGAGGTGAGACGCTACGTCGTTACTGCGTCGTCTCTCTCTCTCTCGCTCTCTCTCCCCCTCCGCGTACTTGACTCATCCGCGGTGGCGACGTCGAGCGCATATCGACGTCGTCGCCGTCGACCCGGGCCGCCGGAGAGTCTATCGTCTCTCTCTCTTAACGCCATTTTCTCGCCGCGGCGGCGTTAGACGGATGAAAAATCGTGTGTGCGAATATATCGCGGCGCGCGCGCGGATTATCGATTCCTCCCCGCGAGGAAGAAACGCGGGGGAGAGAGCGACTCTCATTTTCCTACGCGGGGCGTATTAAGCACGGCGGCGGCGGCGGCGGCCTCGTCATGTGCCGCGCGAGACGCGTGACGAGCCGCGCCGCGACAACGGCGACGTAGTTATTCGCCGCGGAAACCGCGATGACGAGGATTTCCCGGCTGAAGAAAATTTCAGCGGCGTTATCTTATCTCGAAAATTGAGGCTCTCAGGCAGCCGCGCCGTCGATGGTTTTCATCCTCCTCGTATCGTTCCGTTTCGTTTCTCGAAACGTCGTTTACCTTTTTTTTTTCTGTTCCGCTTCCATACGCTCGCGGTTTTTCCCTTTAAATTATCTCTCTCTCTCTCTCTCAGTCCCGCGCGTCGAACGTCTCGCTCGCTTAGCCCCACGGATTTGGCAGAGTTTCCCCGAGGGAAACCCGGTCCAAGAAATCGCCGCGCGTTCCCTCCCGCCCGCCGGGGAACGCGTTTTATTCGCGAATTAGCGCAAAATGGCCCAGACCGGGCGGGCGCAGCTGCTATTTCGTAATGCTGACCTCGGTTGAGCGGCGGCGGCACGCCGTTAGAATTTTACGAGCCTCGGAAAAAGAGGCGCGCGGGACGGACGGAGAGAAACAGGAGCGACGAGCGGGCGTGCGCCTCGTGCGTGTCACGAGACGCGTGTTCCCCGCGCCGCGTGTCTCCTCACCTGCCTGCACCTCACCTGCACTTTCTACACCCCCTCGCGTCCTTTTTTTACTTTTGAATTTTCTTTCTTTCATTACATGCTGAGCGGCTGGATCTACTAACGATGAGAGATTTCGAGAGGCGTAAGAAAAAACTTAAAATCTCAAACCGAAGGACCGATCACGCAGCCGTATGTGAGGAGAATACTCGACCATGATTGAATAATCTCTTAAACGATCCAAGACACTTGTCAAGGCTCGAGTTCGAACACCTTAAAATTTCGTCGTGGACCGTCGCTTTGCGACGCGAGCTGAGAGATCTCGATCGCGCTTCTTCCTCGTGAGGCGAATGCGCCTCCGAGGCGCGTATATCGATTTGCAATTAACGATTTTCCCGAATTCGTGGTAAAACGGGGGACCCCCGCGGGGACTACCCGCCACCGCCGAGCGTCGCTTTTACCCGCTCGGGTAGATCAATACGAATGCCTTTTCCCGTATATGCCTATTCCCTCGACCTTTTCGTCGGGAATGCGGGATCGTCCAGGAGGGCAAAGGTCGCGGATTTTCCTCGTCGCTCTCTCCCGAAAAAATATCGATATCGATCGCGTAGACGGCCTCCGTCTGTTCTCTTTATTTGCACTCTTTGCACTCCGCTTTGTCTCCCTTCAGCGCTCTGATATATATTCGTCTCGCTTCGAGGGCAAACGTTTTTGGAGATCTCAAATAACGCGAATGGATAACTATCGTTCGCTCGATTCTCCCGCTTGTTTTGGCTTGCGAGTCGCTTAATGCGCTTCGACGGAAGCATACAAATTGGTCGTGGGCCGATTCGGCAATCACGTCCGGCTTGTCGAGAGAAATTCACTTCAATGTGCTCGCTCGTCGAGTTCGTCTCCGCGAGGAAAATTCAGCGAAAGGGACGGATGTTGAACTGCTAGAAGAGATAACCCACTTGTTTGATCTACAACGTCTCGTGCGAGCCGAGCAATAATCAAATCACGAGCGCTCGAGAGATGTTTATTTATATACGATAAAGCGTATAAGGTTCATCGTAACGACGATTAAATAGCCACCAGGTGTTATTAGAGCAGTTAAGGGCTAAAAGGTACGGGAGAAGAGAGAAAAAGGAAAAAAGAAATGACGCTTCTCCAAGCCACGCGCCACGCCCCCCTACTCACGAGATGGGACTTGTGTGATTGTCATGTGACTGCCAACGTGAGAATCATGTGACTGCGATCTCCAGGCTGGGCTGGGTACCCGCGGTGTCACGGGGACACCTATGATACCGACGTCGTGATATCACGGGGGGGATTCTCGCGATTCGCGATCGGGATCCTCAATGACGATGCACGAGAAATCAGGAAAATGATTTGGGATGGGAATTATTTTCGCCGCTTCTCCATTGGGACTGTCGTCGTCCCGACGAGCTCGATCGATAATCCTCGTAGCATACTCGGCTCGCGCGGCTAAACCTGCTAAAGAGTATAACTGTACGTCCAGAAAATACGCGTGATGCTTTCAATTTACAGTTCCTTGTTGTTTTTTTTTCCATTTTACAAGATTCCCCCTCTAAGCAATTAATTTACATTCGCCGATCTACCGGTCTCTAAAATGATTTTTCATCTCGCGTATAATTGCATGCGGAGAGATGAAAGCGATAATGGTATGAATTACTTTTTAAATCTATCAATTTGATGTCATTGATACAAATATGAAAACCCCTTTTGTGTTTTAAAATCATAAACGCGACTTACACCGTGACTTTCACTCCTCCATGTTTTACCTCGCAGAATTAAATAATTCTATTCGAATATTTCAGAGTATTCGTATAGAAAACATCTTAAACTTCTTGTCTATAAACTTTTATTAAATTTATGAAACGATTAAGGGCAAAGGAAAGAGCACGTGATTCGTCTGATATATATTTTCTTTGTAACACAAATTTATTATTGTGAGAGGAAATTTTGTAGAATGATTATTTATATTTAATTATTGTAGAAAAATGAAAAGAATTTATAGAGTCGTTTGAATTATTCAATGTATTCATAGATAATTGGAATAATTATGAAACTAATAAAGCAGTTGTAAGTTTAAAGTGCTAAAAATGTGAATAAAAAAATAAGAAACTCTTCAATTTGATTCTCGATCAGCTTCGTTAATTTTTTTTAGTCGTTAATATTTTTTACCGTATTTATTTGTATCCTACGACGAAATACAATAAATCAGCGAATTATCGCTCTCGGTATTTCTCACTTTATATAAAATCTTACATTATTATATCCTATTTTTTATTTAACTAGATATCTGTAAAAATCTTAAAATGTTTTGTATCTGCATTATTAAGATTCAGTTCTATGACATAAAAATGAGACATTGATTTATATGAATATATATAAATCAATTTACGTGAATACATAATTGGAACAAATAATTTACACTAATTTATGTTACAATTGTAAAAATTATTTACAATAAATTATTATGTTTTACAGCTCTGGGAGCAGCGTATGGCACAGCAAAGGCCGGTACGGGAATCGCAGCGATGTCTGTCATGAGGCCAGAATTAATCATGAAATCCATTATTCCCGTTGTAATGGCAGGTATTATTGCCATTTACGGTCTTGTAGTGGCAGTACTCATTGCCGGTACTCTTGGGAGAGTTCCTAAATACGACCTGTACAAGTACGTATCTTTTATGTACATACCAGACTGGTATTATGTAAATATCTCCGCGTTAAGCAGCGTTTTACAATATGTGGTAATTACATATTCCAATGTTTATCATATATTACTCTGTTAGAGGAACGTAAAACGCTCGTTGTTTGCAGTAATCTGTGTAATTAACAAGGTATTTTTGTTCTGCTCATTAGTGGTTTCACTCACTTGGGTGCTGGTTTAGCTGTAGGCTTCTCTGGTCTAGCTGCCGGATTTGCCATTGGCATCGTGGGCGATGCTGGCGTGAGAGGTACAGCTCAGCAACCTCGTCTCTTCGTCGGCATGATCTTGATTCTGATCTTTGCTGAAGTATTGGGTCTCTACGGCCTGATCGTCGCCATCTACCTGTACACAAAGTAAACGGTCAGTAGCGGCATCCTACTACCTGCCATGGCTCCATGCAAGACATGTCGCCTGCAACCAACAGCGCTCCCCGACTACTATTATGCTACAACTTGTTTCGACATATTTTACTTAATCACGTTACTCCATGCATACCTATCTAATTACCATCTCGGCTCATCTCTGCGCGTCTCCCTGTAATATCATACTAAAAAAAAAAAAAATGATCCATCTATTTAGCGTACGGACATTTAACCACGCCACGCATTACTTGTCATCACGGATTGCATGATTATATCGTCGAAGGTGCTGCGATTGAAAAGTGCGACCGATTTTTTTTTTTTTTTTTTTTCTTCATTTTACGACACCGATGCGCAGCGACGCATTTCGACACTGCAGTGTATGGAGAAGCAAATGTATAGCGGGAAAAAAAAAAACGAAAGAAAGCGTGGAAAACAAAGGTCGACGGGGAAATACATGTTTAGAGAAAAGATCTTCTGTGTTAATCCCATTGTCGAACATTTCTCTTTCACTGTATAGTAATCATTTATAGCTTAGTACGACATTGAATTACCAGTTAAAGTAATCGGCTCTACTGAGTGTATAAAGGAAAATATGTTATTGATAAAAGAATATTTAGCACAATTATATATATATATATAAATATATTATAAATGCAACCGCAAAACGGCAGGTACGCGAATAAGAATCACACAAAAGAAAACTTTAAAGAAACGAAATTATATCATCGGAATAGAAATATGTAAGAATAAGTGACACGCAAATTACGCGTGGTATAAAACGGCGTAATATAACAGAGCGAGAGAAGGAGAGGAAAAAGAGAGAGAGAGAGAGAGAGAGAGAGAGAGTGAGAGAGTTTGTGAGAATGAGAATGTCCCGGACAAGATCTCGCGTGAATAGAGATTGTGCAACTAGAAGTTAATAGACGAAGAATGATATTGATGGATGAAACTTTAATAAAATAAAAAAGAAATAAAAAAAATGTATGAATGTGAGTAGATCAACAGGTACACACGATAGTATTAAGTCAATTGAGAGAGAGGCTGCTGGACACGGCGGGATTTCATGTTTTTCACAGTTATTCATGGACAACGATAGACGAGAGAAAGAGGAGGAAAAAGAAAAAAGGAACGATCCGCCTAACCGGGTTGTCAAAAGCCGCAAAGGCCAGCGGTCGACACTCGATTAGTCGTGCGATTTTAATTTGATTCCACATTATTTTCCATCATCGAGACTAACGTCGTCGTATGTCAATGGAGTAACGGGGTATATGTGAAGCTTGTGTAAAACCGATAACCGTTCGTACCAGTGGACACATCAAGTACACACATACACACATACCGTATGATGGCGAAATCAATGATCATCTGAGAGAAGTTATATATATTATACACGCTGATAATAACATGTAAACGGAGGATAATTTGTACATTCCATATTAAGTTCGTTCAGTACAGGCGAGCGGGTGTTTAGCGAGAAAATTCACGGAAGTTGTAGCCCACGCATTCTTCAAGAGATTGGCCGATCGCGATGCACGCATACCTCACGTGGGACAGCAGCTGGCAGACGGACTCGTGTCGTCCTGGGATGGATTGTCCTTTGGGAGCTGACAATCGTACTCCTTGTACGCGCACGGTCTTTCGATCGGTCGCTACCATCTTTCCCCCCCATAAGCGTTTGGATACAAAAGAGGAACATAAAAGCCAAATTCATACACAAAAAGTACGGAGCCAGAGCACCCGCTTGTCACTTTCGACTGCGCAGTATTTTCTACCGAAGAAAAATGCTAACTAGTTTAACGATATAGGAGTATTTCCGGCGAAGAGGAGGGAGGAAATCATCGAATTGATAAGTTCATTTATCGGGGGACAAACAAAATGATCGAAAGGCTTCAAAAACATTTTATTCGAGAAAACTGTCACTCTCTTGGCCTGGAAATGCACTTGTATACGTATCCGAGATTCAGCAGAAACAATATAGTCGTCTCGACGGGGTCGAAGAACGAGCGATAAATACGAGCGTGGAAGAAACGTTGCAATCTTTCGGAAACTTGCGTAGCTTGAGAAAAAAAAAAAAAAAA